ACACGGTAGATCATATCTGTAATCCTAGCACTTGGGAAGTTGAGGCAGGAGGCTCAGAGGTTCAAGGTCATTCCAACTACACACCAAGTTCCAAGTTTGAGGTCAGACTGGGAAACATGGGATACCTCCAACCTTTCCAAAAAACAAAGTCTAAAAAGGAAAAGAGGAGGGGAAGGAAGAGGCAAGGCAAAATGGAAGGATTAAGGTAAATCACAATGTATTTCTTTACTGCTTTCCCGAAGTTTATTATAAAAATCAAACTAAACTTTTGATTAACAAACAAACAAAACTTCCCTTTTTAAAAGGGAAAAGTTAGAGGAAGATCAGCATGATTTAGGGGGAGAATGTGAACCAAGTCAGTGATATGTATCTGTCAAAATACCAGAATACAACCCATGACACGGTACATCACCAACAGAAATGTCCAGTAACCAGAGATCCAAGAAACCGTAACGGTAGGAAGGCCTCCCTGGTTAGTCTGTCTTGGGCTCCAGGTCCTGGGGTCCATCTGGATGTTCCTCTCATTTTAGCTTGTCCAATGGTGCCTAACCTCAGTAATGGGTTTGCTTAGGCCATGATTCTCAACAACAGGGAAGCATATGGAAATACTTGAAAGTCAGTGTTGTGGAAAGGCATCCTGTGAGCTTAACAGCCATTAATCTCTGCATCAGAGCTGCTGAGAATACTCAAACGCCATTACTATCGTCATCTGAGACTCCAGTCTCTCTCTGCTATACCTTTCTCCCAGTTGTACTTCTACACCAGGCCTATGGTCTCCTGGTTAGGCTTAGGTTATAGAGTATAGATAGTGTGGACGTCGTCTTCTATGCTCAGATTTTCTGGTAGTGTGGCTGCTTTAGGTCACCTACCATCCTTGAAGTAAGCCCGATAAACTCAGTGGCTCATCAAGCTGGACTTTGGGGGTGAAATTATTACTTTGGTCCGTTGTTGGTGCCTTCTCCAACATGAGATGTTTTCTTATGTCTCTACAGCATAAGTTCATTCGACACTCAGAAATTTGCAAGGTATGCTGGGAGCCTCTCCTGAAACCGAGAACCGAGTCTTGTATATGAGAATCCTGAGGCCAGAGACAGAATTGCCAGAAGCAGGGCCAGGGCTAATCCCAGGCCACCTGACTTCCATGCTCCCTTCTTGTATTTCCAGGCTTTGGTTACAAAGGCTGCCATGTTCTAAGAATTTTCCTCTTCCCATTCTCCCATTCACAGGTAGACTTGGTAACTGCTCTTGACTCTCTGCCAAGCTGGTTCTGACAGATTAAGGGGCATCCTGAAAACATAATCCCCTCACAACAGACTAGAAACAGGCTGGTTTAAACTTGCTGCTTTGAAAATGTACTTAAGGGACTGGTGAAATGACCTGTTTCTAGCACCTGTGTAGGGAGGGTTATACCCACCTGTAATTCCAGCTCCAGGGAATTCAATGCCCTCTTCTGGACTCTGTAGGCACCTGCACTCTTGTGCATATATTTACACACATACACACAAATGACAAAAATAAATCTTAAAGGTAGAGCAGACTTACAGAGCATGATCAAATCTGGGTTTTAAAAAGCTCATAGTTTTTGTTTTGTCTTATTTGTGTGTGTGTGTGTGTGTGTGTGTGTGTGTGTGTGTGTGTGTGTGTGTATTTTTTTTTTTTTTTTTTTTTTTTTTTTTAAAGATTTATTTATTTATTTATTATGCATACACTGTTCTGCCCACATATATGCCTACACACCAGAAGAGGGCGCCAGATCTCATTACAGATGGCTGTGAGCCACCATGTGGTTGCTTGGACTTGAACTCAGGACCTCTGGAAGAGCAGCCAGTGCTCTTAACCTCTGAGCCAGCTCTCCAGCCCCGTGTGTGTGTATTTTAAAGACTCATAATATTTCCATATACTTTGTTCCTTTAAGAGCCTGATAATAAGTGTGGCGTAGTATGGTGTATCATCTAGTCATCTTGATAACAAGCTGTCAGTAATTCAACAATCAAAAGGAACCAACTAAGGAATCCATGAATATATGTGTAGCTCACCAAATTTTCAAGGTCAGTTTCACAAATTCTCTGGTTTTCTTCAGAAGCAGCCCAAATCACACTTCCAGAAAATTGATCCTAAAACTCATAGGAAATGAAATTTGAATCTTAGTAAATGTGCCCTGGGAGGCTTGTTTTTTGAGATACTAAGGAATCAAATCTCCAGGCAAAATTATCTTGGGTCTTGTGATCTCTGAGAATAAATATAATAAATGCATATCTTTACCTAATTTTAATAAATAGGATGTTTTACATGTAAAGTTACAACTCAATATAACCTAGGTACCTAATTTGTCTCAGAGTAAATTAGTTGCTGCTTTGTAAAAATAAATGAATCGGTGCTTAAATGACAAATATTTATGATCTGTTTCTGTGGCTTTGCTGGGTAATTTAACTCAAAGTCTCATGAGGCTGTAGTCAATGTCAGCGAAGGTTGCAGTCATCTAAGATGTTCCTAGTACTGGAGGACCTGCTTCCAGCGTGGTTCCCTAACATTTCAGTTGGCAGGCACTCTCTGCTTCTGACCCTTTAATCCTCTCTATGACACTGCATGGGTAGCCTCAAAATTCAACAGCTGGCTTGCCTCAAAGTGAGTGATTGAGGAGAGAAAGAGGAAAGAGCAATGCCTTTTAATATCCCCTTCTGTCTATATTCGTTTGATGCCTCAGATTTTGGGTACTCAAGAAGGAAACTGAAGCTCCATGTCTTCAAGAGGAATGTATCAGAACATGTACAGAAATGTAAAACCAGCAGCTAGCAAGATGATTAGCTTTTTACTTGTAATGCACCAGGGCCCACTACACTGTTTTCTTCTCCTTCCTTTTTTCTCTCCCACACCAAATATCTAGCCTACCCCCAGATGTGTACTCATTTTTTTTCTTTCCTAGACAATTCAAGGTAAAATAATATTTAGTATTCTATCCCCACATAAGAACTACATAATCAAAATAAAAATGGTAACATGACCGCAATACATATATAATACACTTACATATATACAATGTGTTCATATGCATATCAATGTTTACATTACACATATATAAACATATATACAATATACATAAATAGTAGTTCTTTTATTGTTGTTTCCACCTAGTGGATGAAAATGTTATGAAAGGGGATTAAAAAAAATACAAATGTTTAATTCAAAGCCAGCGAGATGGCAGCAGGGAAAAGTGATTGCCACCAAGCCTGACCACCTCAGATTGATCCCAGGAACCTGTATGTTTAAAGGAGAGAACCAACTCTTGCAAGCTGTCTTCTGACTACAACAGGTGTGGCCCCCTCTAACACAAAAGAATAAATAAATAAGTGTAAATAATAAAAAAAATATTTATTTCAGGCTGGAAAGCTGGCTCAACATTAAGAGTATTTGCTACTCTTGTAGAAGACCAACGTTCTGTTCTCAGCACTCATGTGGTTGCTCACAACCAATTCTAACTCCAGTTACTTACACACACACACACACACACACACACACACACACACACACACACACACATTTGCGCATGTGCACACAGACATAAGTGGCCCCCTAGTGGCCACTTCCTCTAACCAGGCCCCATCTCCGAAAATTCCACAAACTCCCCAAACAGGAGCAGTGACCAAATGTTCCAACAAGAAGCCCTGTGGCACACTTCACTGCTTCCACATTTTCTGACCCTGAGATGACAAGACAGTAAACTTGGATTAGAATAATACTGCAACAGGTCTAAAGTTAACAAAGGAAAGCCTGACCATAAACAGTTGAAGCATTATATCAGTATTTTTACATGATTTGGCCTCTGCAATTCTTTAAAATGTTTCTTCTCTTAAGATAAAGCAGTGTAGAAACCCATGGGGATCCTACCTAGACCCTAGAAGTAAAAAAAAAAAAAAAAGAAGAAGAAGAAGAAGAAGAAGAAGAAGAAGAAGAAGAAGAAGAAGAAGAAGAAGAAGAAGAAGAAGAAGGGGAGTATTCAGGTGCTTTTAAAATGAGGAGGAGCTGGGGATGTGGCTCAATGGTTAGAGCACTGGCTGCTCTTGCAGAGGATCCAGGTTTGGTTCCCAACACCCACATGGTGGCTCACAATCACCCTTACCATTGTCCCAGGGGATCCAATGCCCTCTTCTGGCCTCTGCAGTTACCACGCATGCACATGGTGCAAACATGCAGGCAAAGACTCAAATACACAAAACAAAACTCTAAAAACAAAATCAAAACTAACAACAACAAAAATAACACACCCAGGGAAAGGAGGTGGATCTGGTGAAGGGATGCTCTCCTAAGATCCATAACAGCACAGTAGCTTTGGAGAATGCAGACTCCTCGGGTCATCTAGGTAAGTCAAAAGTGCGACAAATAGCTGGGTGTGGTAGAGCCTGCCTGTAATATGAGCACTAAAGGCTGATGGAGCTCTGAGTTTGAGTCCAGCCTGGTCTACATAGTGAGTTCCAGGACAGCTAAGGCTACCTAGTGAGACCTGTCTCCAAAAACAGACAAACAAGAAAAAGTGTAAGAAATAATTTTGGCTTCCGTGTCTGCAGCAGTCACTAGGAAAGTGTTTCCGCTGTACTGCACCAGAACTCCCCGGAACCTAGCAATTTGTCCCTCCTCTCACCTTCAGAGCTGTGATCCTCCCGCAGAGATAACAAAGGACCAGCAGGCAGAAAGGTACAGAATGCCAGCGTGAGCAATGTTTTCCTACCAAATCATATATTTACACATGCACACATATTTCTAGGTTCTTCCTCCCACCCCCAAGGAAAACATTTCCTTTGTTTTCAGGCTGAATCTGCAAAGATGCCCAAATCACTAGGTAACAGTATCCTTACATAAATAGAACCACTGAGAACCTGGAACAGTTACTGAGCATGGATTAATATTAGATTGCTAGCAAATAGCTTAATATGTTGCTTCTTGCTTCAAACTGTAATAATTTAGATGTGAAAGTTACTCATTTCTGATGAAAATTCTGGAATTCATTACAATTGAATAAAATAATATTTATTGTTTTTTTCCTTGTGACATGACATCATTTAGTTTTGCTAGCTCTCCAAATGACACAGTTGCAGAACCTCTTTCAGCTGGCCTTGCCTGAAAACAATAAAAACAAAAGATATTAGATAGAGAAGCCCCGCCCAACACAACCCCAATCATGTTATGCATAATAAAATATACCCTAAGTTAATCAGCAATGGACAACAAACAGAAACACAAACACTCCAAAAAAAGTGATGCCTTAATAACACTACCTGAGAGTCATGGTATTTCCATCCTATCATGTGGTAGATCTGGTATGTGGCAGGTATGGAACCATCTTCATTTCTGTACATTTCTAAAAAGACACACACGGTTAAATTCTGGAAACAGTCAGGTGAGAAGAAGTACCCGCTCAATAACAATCACCTACTTCAAAGAGAAATGGGTACTAGGATAGCTGCAGGACTGAGAATGAATGCCTCACCCAGGAAGTCTTAACACAGAAAAGCGACATGATGGAAACAAGAGTTGTTTGCAAACAGATATATAGGCTCTGTGTTTTGAGAGGAAAAAAAAAAAAACCATGAAGCCGAACAATACCTTAGAAGAAGGAACTAGCACTGTGGAGCAAACCCCACTGAGCACAAACCCCTCCATGAGTGCAGGTAGAAAGAGTGGGTGGCTCACCTCTGTAAACCGCTGCAGCTGCCAGCATAGTGTCTCGGTGCAGCAGAGCTTTTCTGTTCCAAGAACAGTTGCTCTCACCCATACCTAAAAATAGACTACAGTTTGAGAAAATACTGCAAATACCCTGGCAGCTCAGTATAAAGACAACATCTTATCTTATCCAACAGCATACCTATCCTCAGTCTCATCCACCTTTAGATTATAGCGAGGCTGCTTACTGACTGGAGCAAAACTGCTTGAAGCCTCTTCATTATTGAGTCAGGTAAGAAATTCTCAGGAGGGAAGCCCCAGGACGCTTCTTTCCATAACAGCCACAGTCTATAGTAAGACAGCTCAGCAAATGCCACTAGACTCTAGATGGGTCACAAGCATTGACAAGTGCCTTTCAAAGAAAACCACATCTTACACCCCTTCTAGCTCTGACGCTTTGACAATGCCTCCCTCCTTGTAAGCAGCACATATAATTACAAGAGCCAAACTTAGAAGAGGGCTGCCTGTACCACTCATTAGATAGGACCAAAGCCATGTCTTCAGATTTTGTGATATTTTACTAACACTAGATTTAAAAATTATGTGTGTTCCCCAAAGAGACGCTTCTTATTTTTATTTTTTTATTAAGAGATTTTCTATTCATTTTACATATCAACCTCAGATTCCCCTGCCCTCCCTCCTCCCACAACGCCCTCCACCTCCCCCCCAATTCACCCCCCATTCCCACCTCCTCCAAGGCAAGGTCTCCCCTGGGGAGTCAGCAGAGCCTGGTACATTCAGTTGAGGCAGGTCCAAGCCCCTCCTCCCTGCACCAAGGCTGTGCAAAGTCAGAGACACTTTTCTTAGCATTTTTAAATTAATCTTCAGACCTCTTTCCTTATTTTAAAATTTCAAACTGTTTCTCAGTTGTTTCAAATGGTCAGAAGGCTATTTATTGACAATTCTTATTGTAGAGATTGAGAGATAGCTAGGTGATACAGTGCTTACCTAACGTGTTCAAGAGGCTGGGGATATGAATTAATGGATACAGTGCTTATCGTATAACCATGATCTCCATCCAGCACCCACATAAAAAGCCAAGTGTACCTGATACTTGGGAGGCAGAGGCAGGAGGATCTTTGTGAGTCTGAAGCAAGCCTAATCTACAGAGTGAGTTCCAAGACAGCCAGGGCTACACAGAGAAACCTTGTCTTCAAAAAAAAAAAAAAAAAAAAGAAGCAGCAGCAGCCAGGTGTGGTGGTAATCCTTGAGGCAGCTAGGCTAGCACATTAGTGAGCTCTAGGTTCAGTGAGAGAGAAAAAAAGAGAGCAACAGAAGAAGATACTGACAGTGACCTCTCGCAACCACATGTGTACACATATGGAGGCTGCCCACACACTCATATGCACACATAAGCATATCACACACACAGAAACCTGGGTTCAATTCCCAGTACCACAAAAAATAAAGATAAATTAATGTAATATCAAATTAATGTTATGCATCTTTCTTTATGGATACATTTAAATTTAAAGTTATTTGGAAAGGCCATGTTTAAGATCACTCTACAAAACAACTAAAGGAATTTTAAAATATTATAATTATTCTTAATATTAAAATGTACTACATGCTGGGCAGTGGTATGGTAGTGCATGCCTTTAATCCCAGCACTTGGAAGGCAGAGGCAGGTGGATCTCTGTGAGTTCAAGGCCAGTCTGCTCTACAGAGTGAGTTCCAGGACAACCAGGGCTTGACAGAGAAACCCTGTTTCAAGAAAAAAAAAAAAAGACCAAGTGTCTACTACTTACTTCACTAATCAAGAAAAGATTCATTCATTTTCTTCAATAGTCTAAAAATAGTAACCTATTTTTAAATTTTTATTTAAATAAAATTTTAACAATAAATAACATGTCAAATTTTATTTCAATGGGTTTTTAAAAGCAGTCAACAAGGAGGCTGGAGAGATGGCTCAGTTAAGTACACACACTGCTTTTGCTGAGGACCTGAGTTTGGTTCCCAAAACACATCAGGCAGCACACAGCAGCTTATAACTCCAGCTCCACGGATCTGACACCCTCTTCTGGCTTTTGAGGAGACACTGATTCTAATAAACCCAATGTCCTATATTTTGTGAGTTTAATGGTCCCAATTCATAAAGATGATTAATAGCTACAAACTAGTAGTTAATAAAATATTGTGGCTAAGTATAAATGATAATTTGTAAATATACATTTACAATCCCAGTACTGAGGAAATAGAGGCAGGTAGATTGTGATTTCAGGGTCATCCTCAGCTATGTGAGACCCTTTTTCAAGTACACAAATAAACAACCTGCAACCAAAGTAAAACACTGGGGGCCAGAGAGATGGCTCAGTGGTTAAGAGCACATACTGCTCTTCCAGAGGACCTGGGTTCAATTCCCAGTATCTACATCAGAAACTCATAACTTCCAGTAATTCCAGTTTTAGTATCCACTGTCCTCTTCTGTCCTCTATGGGTATCCACACAAAATAAAAACAAATCTTAAAAAAATATTTTAGACCCACTATATATCCATGTTACAACGCATTCTCCCACATAGTGAATATCAATCACAGTGACCAAAAGTAAACTAGGGTTCACGCTGCAACAATATAACCAATGATGAACACAGTACTTGAGTTTCTACTCAACTCTCCACTGCCCTGCCTTCCTTACACATCACATGTAGTAAATGCATACACAACACAGAATGCGCTACTAGACATTCTAAAGTGCTTTCCAAACAACTCATCACTTGCATATTCTAAATAAGATCATTAGACACATTCCACCACTGTGGGTCTGACCCAGCTCAGTTATCAAGAGAACTCTACACAGTATCAACAGCAATTCCACCGCCTTAGTAGCCCACTCTTCCTCAGGGACGGGCACTGCCTTACTCAACACCCCTTTCCTTGTGAAGTACTCAAGAGAACCTGGACTCAGGGATCACAACTTTATAAACTAGGATTCAGCCTTTATTAAACCCGGTTTTTCATCTTTAAAGTGGAATATCGTGAAGCACACTGTGGGGAAGCTTTACTGACAACCACCTAGCAAAGATGGCAGGCTCAACCTGAGCTTGGGATAAGACCAGCTGGGAGGGAACTGCCTAAGAGTCTCAGTGTTTTCATATTTGATCTTGGCCAGAAGGCTGAGACTTCTCACAGTGTTTTTAAGGTTAAGTTCAATTGCTTATTAAAAACAAACTTTAATATGTTATTACTGGAACAATGATGAGTATTGCCTTAAAAAAACTGAACTTACCTTAAAACCACTGTGAAAGCCTTGAAAATTTCTCATGTATTCATCAGCTGATAATGCAACTTGTTTGTAAAATTAGGTCAATATTCTGGACTTTTTTTCTGTGAATTAATAATAATGGCAGCTAAAATGAGACATCCCTCAACTATTTGGAAAACAAACATAACACAGATGTAGATAGAATAGCCAACTGGGGAGATACCACCTTCCAATTGGCACAGCAGCCCCCCTGAAAGCACCCAAGCCCCTCCAAGTCCCATTCCCCTCGGACTTTTCCCACTGAGTAAATAGCTGAGACTTCAGGATATGAACGACTTAAGCTGTCTGCCTCTACTAAATACAACTTGGGCAGGCTCCTTACCTGTCTGTGCCTTAATTTCCTCATACATCAGGACAGACTGATCATGCTAGTTCCAATCTTACCCTCCTATAAACCATGCCTTATAAGCATGCAAACAGTGCTCTTCTACTATACTCAAATCTGACTCATCTCTGTGGAAAATTCTCTAAACAAACTATAAGGCTCATCTGAAAAAAATCTAGAAGCTTCTGGTCTTCTATCATTCCCCATCATCTGCCTCTTCTATACACTTAAGCAATATTACTACAGTAGTTCTCCCAATATAAGATTAGGATATATATAATAATCTCTCCACCCCATGATTTTATACACACTGTTCTCTGTGCTACCCCTCCAAATTCTCCCTACACTTCCTCCTCCTGGGCAACTCACTTTAGCTTAGGTTCAGCTTTTTCTACAGATGACTCCCTGACATCCTAAGCAGATTTAAGGCCAAATCCTTTGTGTTTCTCTTATTTTACAGCTGAAGGTTTGTCTGTCTATCTTGGGAGTTCTTTCATCTACAATATTAGCAACTTGAGATCAGAAACTATGTATCTCTTACCACTGGCTGAGAAGTTGGCACACAGCAAATGCTCAATAAAAAGTAAATGAATAAATATAAAATCCAGCAGTTAGTATTTGTGTCCACTTTCTCAAATGGCATTTTTACACATTATCTTTATATAATTCTTAATCCACCTACAGATTAAAAAAAAAAAAAAACATCAAAGATATATGACTTTTGTAAAAGGCCTCACAGTAGAGATATCTCTCTCAAGAGTAAGCATAGGAACAGTTCCTCAAAATGTAAGACCTATTTAAAACCCTAGGGGACAGGCATTATCAATTGGGAAAGGGCCTGAGGCACCCTTCTGGGGAACCAGAAGGGTTTTAAAACTTAAGTCTAGAAGGTGGTTAAAAATACAGTGACCTGCCTGGTGGTTGGAAGACCATGTATAGTGGTTTAATGAGAATAGCCCTTGAATGAGGAGAATGCCTGCCATAGCAGTATCTGAATGCTTGGTTCCCAGTTAGTGGAATTGTTAGGGAAGGATTAAGAATTATGGCCTTGCTGGAATAGGTGTGGCTTTGTTGGAGGAGATGTGTCACCTGGGGTGGGCTCTGAGGTTTCAAAAGCCCATGCCAAGCCCAGTGTCTCTCCCTGCTTGCCTACCAGTAGATCAGGATGTGAGTTCTCAGCTCCATGCCTGCCTGCCTACCACCAAACTCCCTGCCATGATGATAATGAACTAAACCTCTGAAACCGTAACCAAACCCCTAATTAAATGCTTTCTTTTATAATACTTGCCTTGGCCATGGTGTCTCTTCACAGCAGTAGAATTGTAACTAAGAGAACATGTGTCCCACACCTGCCTTCCTGTACCTCTTCCAGACCTCCCTTTCAGACTAAGGCATCTCTCCACCCTCATCAGAGAAGCTTCTGTTTGCAGTAGATAGTAACACAGAGACCCACAACTGGCCATGG